GGGGAAGGGGGTGTGAGCTCCCCATAGTGGGGAGTCTTGGTTGGTGGGAGTAGACTCATAGAAGAACAGTGCCAATGGATGGGGAGAGCAAGTGGGGAGATGGACCCCAATAGATGGGGAGAGCCACGGAGGGAAGAGGGACAATGGATGGAGGGGGACCTCCGTGGATAGGAAGAGGCAAGAGAGGGGGATGGGGATGGGGGAGAGCAATCGATGGGGGCCCAATGCATGGGAAGGGGACCTCTACTCCTGGATGGGGAGAGCAACAGAAGGGGGAGGAACCCCAATGGATGGGGAGAACCATAGGGGGGACCCCAACGGATGGTGGGAGAACCTCAGTGGATAGGGAAAGCCACAGAGTGGAGGAAGGACCCAAAGGAAATGATGGGAGATCCCAATGGATGGGAATCCCATGGATGGGAGGGGAAAGGGGAGACATGGAAGGGATGGGAACCCCCATTGGAGGAGAGTCCTCAGTGGATGGACAGCCCCCAGTGAAGACCCCATAGATGGGGAGACCTCTAGAGAGAGTGGAGACCCAATGAAGGGGAGAAACCCAATGCAGGGGAGTCCCATAGAATGGTGGGGGAGGGGGGACATGGAAAGGATGGTAACCCTGAATGGATGAGCATCCCATAATGGAGGGGCAGCCCCACAGATGACTATGTAGGGAGGGGAGCCCCATGGATGGGATAGCCCTATGGAAGCACAGACCCAAATGGAAGAGAGAATCCCACAGAAGACCCACAGAAGGGGAAGGCAGCTCCAGGGGAAGGGATGGGAGACCCCAATGGATGGGAGACCCACAGAGGGCAGAGAAGCCCCTAATGATGGGACAGTCCCCAGTGGATGGAACAAGAGAGCCCCATGAATGGGCAGAACCATGGATGGGAGCCCTGCTCAGTGACTCCAAGGTCCACCCCACCACAGCTCAGTCCTCCACCCAAACCCTTGGGCCTGGACAGGGTATCACAGCCCTCACAGCCCCATCCAGAACAAGGCCCAGGCTCTGTGTCCCCTCAAAACTCCACATGTAAGGCCCCAGCTGGTTTCCACTGGAGACACTAATAAAAAGCAAAAGGAGCACTTTGCTGTCCCCACATGCCATCCCCTGAGGCACTGTCCGTGCTCCACGACACCCATGGTACAAAGAATGCACCAACACAGACTCAAATCTTCACGGAATGGGCAATAAAATCTCCCTGAAAATACAGCTGCACTCACAAGAATAACTGATCCCAAAACCAGAGCAACACCACTGCCACAACCAACACCAAGAACCTCAGGTTTTAGGCAACAACCACAACACCACTACAGCGGGTGGTGGGAGAAGGGAGCCATGGCCACACGCTGCCTGATGCTAAGCTATGAAACAAAATCTATCTAGGTTAAAGCTGGTTACGGAGCCCAAAAGATGCTTTTGCCACTGATGGGGCCATGCAACTCAACAACAGCCAACAGCATGCAATCCAACCCAACACCAAGCCCTTACCAACATCCAACACACACCCCTACAGCCAAACCCTACTCAATCCCAAGGCTCTGCACCCAATGTCAAACACAAATCCAATGCAAAACCCCCAAACCCAGTGCAAAACTTCCAAATCCAATTCCAAACCCTGATGCTCATTGCCAAGCTCTATGGCCAACGCAGAACTCCACGCAATGCCAACCCCTATGGTTAACACTGACCCCCTGCGGCCAACACAAAACCCTACGGCCAGCACAAAACCCTACCCAATGTCAACTTCTATGGCCAACACAAAACCCTACCCTACGTCAGCCCCCTACAGCCAACACTGACCCCCTGTGGCCAATGCAAAACTCCACCACCAACTCAAACCCCCACCCAAGAAGAGGCAGTGGGAGAGGAGAGCACTCAGAACTAAAAGAAAACCAGACCTATCCTGGACATCCAATTTTCACCCAAACACAGTGAAGTTTTTAGAGATTCAAATTCTTACTGAAGTGAAACATCCCAACAACAAATTCTCAACATGGCGCACGCAGAATATCGGAGAGAAATCTTGTCACAACAGCCAACATCCTGGATAACTCCACACACCTGCCCAAAAAGCTCCCTTTGGAGAACTCCTGGCCCCACTCAGGGCCACCCAAAACCCAGGCCCTATGTCTGAGAGCAGTGTCCAAGCATCCCGTGAGCTCGGGGCTGTGGCCACTGCTCCAGGAGCCTGGTCCATGCCCACCACCTTCTGCTGAAGAACCTTTTCCTAGTATCTAACAGCATTCCCTGACAAAGCTCTGTGCTGCTCCCTCGAGCCACCAGAGAGCAGAGAGGTGCTGAGATCCAAGAAGATGACATCACCTGGATTCCTTTGGTCAGCGAGGTGGGTAACCTTGTCATAAAGGAAATTAAGTTCGTTAAGCAGGACTTGCCCCTTATGAACCCGTGTTGCTGTGATCAATTACTGTTGGCTTTCAACTCCTGGAACAATTTCTATAATTTTTACAGGCACTGAAGTGAGACTAACAGCCCTATAATTACCCGGGGCTTCTCTCTTGCCCTTCTTGGCTCCAGATTCCCAAGACCATTAAACAAAATGATAATAATTGACAGAGGTCTCATGATGACATCAGCCAACTCTTTGAGCACCTTGAGATGGACCCCATGGGCTCTTCCATGCTTCATCCTACGGTGCAAGGAAATGATGAGGGGCACGGAGAGCGCAATCGCTGTTCTGCTAATCGGCTCCATGTGGGACAGGGAAGAAAGAATCATTTTTTTGCCGGCCAGCCAGGCACACAGAGCTCTGCCAAGAGGCTTGGCCAGCTCTGCGTTGTGCTTTCCATCTCGCCGATGGTTTCCAACACGGTGCTTCCCTTCGTTGGCTCTGCTACCAACCCACTCATGCCAACTGCCCTTCCTTTTGGCGATCCGCATTGGGTTCAGACGGGTTTAACCACGGGGTGGAACTGCTCTCCTTGGCTTGGAGGGAAGCAGAGCTGGAAAAACGCATGGGGAAGGAAGACCTCGAGGTATCGCTCACTGAAATTTAATGGGATGAGAAATGCAAGAAATAAGTGATGTGCCTATGTCCTAGAATGCAAGAAATACGTGACGTTCCAATGCTTGGCTGAGATGGGGATGTCATGCGGAATTTGAGGCTCAGAGCTCCCCCAGCATCAAGCCTCCTTCCTTCCAGCTATCCCAAAAAATGTTTTCCCCAAAGCATTAAGAAAGAAACTGATTTCCTACCATCGCTGCCACCACCAAAAGGTGGAAGGGGTTACTGCCACCTTGGAGCGCTGCCCCCAGGGAGCGTCACCCCAAAATTCCTGCATGGAAAGACCTGCATGAAGGTGCCATCTCCTGTGGCCGTAGCTCAGCTCATCTGAAAATAGGGCAGGAGGAGAAGTGAGAGGCCAACAAGAGCTCTGCAATGAGCTGGAAGTCAAGAAAAGAATGAAAGACTGCGGAAAGTAGGTCAGGAGAGCAGCACAAGGAGGGTCCTCGGGGCACAGAGGAGGGGGTGTCACCTCCACCCTACACAAATTCAATAGGACACAGCCCCGAGCTTTGTGACCTGGCTCTGTAGGCAGCCTTGATGGGGTCAGGTGCCTCCAAAGGGTTTCTGACATCCATTCTTCAGCAGCAAACACGGGATGAGCCTCACGGATGGAAGGAAAGACACAAGATCCCATCTACAAAGCTCCAGTGTTTTGATTTTGATTCCTTTTCTTCTCCTTTGCAGGAGGGGGGCAGCCACAGTCAGAGAAAGCAAAGCTCAGAATGGAAATCAGAGCTGTGCTGAAAAAAAATTGGCATTGAATGTCCACTTCCAGCTCCAACTGTGCTGGGGAAGAGGTCACCACTGGAGGCCCTTCTTCTGGGGCAGGGGCTGTCCGTGAGAGCCTTTTTTTGGCACTCCAGCCCAGTGCCATCCAGGTCAGGGTTGGGTCAATTGTGTGGAAGACAAGGAAGGGCAATGCCACTCCATGAAGAGAAAGGGAAAAAATCCAAGACGTCAGCAGACAAAATTAAATTAGGGGGAAAGTGCTGGAAAAAGAGCTGGAAGGAATAAAAACCCCAAATCCAACTGTGCTCCAGATGGGAGTCAGAGACATGGGAGAGCTGTGTAGAGGATGGGCTCAGAGATTTCAGTAAAAAGGCAACAAACCTTCAAGTAGAATTCTGTATGAGAATGTATACAGAATAGAATTTAAAAAATAAACATAACAAATGCAGAAATGGAGGATAAGGACAAAGCCACAGTTGGAAGCTGAACACGGTGAAGCAAAGCGATAGGCAAAGTGAGACAAAGGGAATTGTTTGGGTTTGGTGGGAAATAACCCCAAAGACTTCCGGCCTGGTCACTGTGGTTCCCATCATTTGGAATAATTTGGTATGTTCTGTATGTTAGAGAAATGTTTTTTTAAGAATTAATTTCTCTAAATATCCGGAAAGAAGCTGTAAGGTACTTGAAACTAGAAATACTCTCAATTGGAAGGGATCATAATGTCCAGCTCCTGGTCTCACAGTACTGGACTGCCTAATTTTGGTTATAAGCTATGTTTTAGGGTTCTTTGAAGAGCTTTTTGGGCAAGACAAGAGTCAACCAAGAGTTAAACCATCAGAGCATCATCCAAAGGCTTCCTGAACACCAACAACCCAATCGTGCACCCAATGCGTTATGTGTATACCCAGCTTTATGCTGGATATTTTGTCCAGAAATTCTCCATATTAGCCAAAATTCATTTAAAACAAACAAACAAGCAAACAAAAAATACACCTCCACTGTCTTCTACTTGTCCCCCAGTTGGGTGACCTTCAAGAGGACACGTAGGACCTGGCTGTCCCTCCATGGGTGTTGGATACGACCAACGATTGCATTTGTTTCAGCCATCACATGACATACTTATCCAGCTCTGTGCTGCATGCTTTGTCCAGAAAGCCTCAATATTTGCCAAAAATCATTAAAACCCATTTCCATCACCTTCCCTTCACCCCCCAGATGGGTGACTTTCAAGGGGATGGCTGACCCTTCATGCATGTTGGCTGTGACCGATGACCATGTTGTCTTGCAAGTGTTTTTTTTTCTTCAATAACACACAGAATAATCTTCTCCATAATTTTGCTGGGCACCGAAGTGAGACTGACAGCTCCATAACTACTGGGGCTTCCCTCTTTGCCCTTCTTAGAAATTGGAAGAGCAATAACCTGTGCCCACCCGCAACGCGCTCTGTGCTCAGAGATGCACAGAAAGCCATTGGCAGCCAAAATGCTGGGAAACAAGCAAACAGATCTGCAGCCCCTAACCCGCTCCCTAAAGGCTGCACCAACAGAAACAAAGCATTGCAATGAGGAACCCCCTAGTGCCATCTAAATGGGGTTTCATTCCATTTAGAGAAGGAGGAGACGAGCAAGGGAAGGAAGGAGCAGCCCCATTTTGGAATCCCCACCAGCAAGGATGTAGGATCAGTTCCCTGATGCTGTACCATTCAACCAACCTTCCTGCTAAGAGCTCTGTGTTACACCAAGATCCAAGAAGAGAACACCAAGTCAGCTTTTGCAGAGCTGGTCTGGGCTTTTAGCAGCACCTGATGCCCCTTGCGATGCAGGCAGAGACCTTCCAGAAGCTCACTACAACTTGCTCCCAGCCTAAATCTCGTTAACAGTGTCTAAAACCTTCTGCAAACGATGGAATTGGCATAAAACATGAGCTGAGAGCATCGGGGAGCAGTGGGAGAGGTTGCTGAGATCCACGCCACTGGCTGGAGCTCTCAGCACTCCGACATCTCCCAAGCGATTCAAGCAAACCCATGGATTCCTAAAACAATCCCCAGGTCCCCCATTACAGATCAAGTACCCCATGCCCCCGACCCCTTCAGCCTAGCCTCCACATGTCCCCAACCTCAACCCAACAATTGTTTGCTCAGCTGCCTTGCAAGAGTCCAATCAATACCGCGCAGTCCAACGACACCACGGGACCATCGCACGCACAACCCTGGAGCGGGGAGCAGCACTTCTCTTCCCCTCTCCCTTTTTTTGTGAGGTTTGTCACCTTTTTGGTGAGCTGGCTTTGGGTTCCGGCCCACTGCCATTCTGCAACCTGAGATGGAGCTGTGATGGAGTTCCCAACATCACACAACAAAAAGCTGAGCACTGTTGGCCAAACCCATAGGCAAAATCCTAGTTCAACACACGTCTCTTTTCTCAAGACAAATCCCTTTTTTTTTTTTTCCCCTTAAATTTAATACTGGGGACATCTGATACTAGTTCACTACATTCAGCACTGCTTTAACCTCCCCCTCATGAGCAGGAGGTGGCTGAGCTCCTTCACTGTGACACCTCTCAACACTCATCCCTACTACACTCTGAGCTTTTAAGCACTATCCACAATGCCCATAAATTTTGGGCACTGTCCACCTAGAAATTTCTGAATGGTTGTCCCAGACAGTAGGAGCAGCCAGCCACCAGCAGCAGGAACCCCGTTGAGCTCTCTCCTTAGCATCAGCCCCTGCCCTGGGCTTGGAGCTCTTCGTCTTCCAGCTCTTTCAAGCCAAGAATTAAGAGCTGGCATTGGCTGTGCTCATCTGCATTCATTATGGAGAGCAGGGATTACAGGCTTTATGATATTTCAATTAAAGACAGATGGATTCCTGCAGCGAGAACCTCACGCAGGATCATGCTGAGCACAGATTCTACAAGAAGGACTTCAAAAAGGTGATGGAGCACCCAATGTCACTTTCTCACAGTGTGCGAGCAAGTTTTCAGCCTTTGGGAGAACGCTGCTGTTGCAAAAGCCAAGTCAGCTTTTGGGGGGAAGTTTGAAAGCTTTCTGGGAAGGCCATTGCTCTAAACCCAGTGCTGCTCTGTGAGCACTTTGGGGGCTCTGCTGATGGAAGGGCCTCACTAAGACCCAAAGGTCAAACCTCCAATTCCCCTTGGGAAAACAACACCTAGAAAAAAATGAGCAGCCAAGGGGTGAACACAGCGCCTTCTACACGGGTAAAGAGCAGGGTGGCCACACTCAGCCCCAACACCCAACACACACTTCTCTGTCCCAAATATCCCAATGCACACTCCTCTGCCTCAAAGACCCCAGTGTGCATTCTGAGTGTATGAGTTTTGCTGACAGAAATCATCTTCCTAAGCACAGCCGCCACCCAAGCAGGAGGCAATCCCTCCATCCACAGCTTGAGATATTCCATCACCACACCTTCACCTGCCCCAAACAGGGCTCAGACTTCACCCAGCACAACGACAATGACAAAGACACACAAATCGACACCAGGTTTCCATCAAGCAATCCACCCCCTGCACCAAGGATCAAGAGAAGTTGCCAGCAAAAAGGTTTGTGGCTTCACTCACCGTCTCTGTAGGACTGCAAAGACTCATCTCCCCAGGATGGGGGGAATGGGGACAGAGGAGAGCGTGGAATGCTGCACTCGGAGATGGGGGTCATGCTCTTGCGGGGCACGAAGCCGTGCGGCTCTCGGCCCGGGGATGAGGGCTCCGCTCCCACCGCCGCCTGCAGCATGGGGTACTCCGCCGAGTTGGCCAACAGCTCCTTGAGGATGTTGATGGGCGAGATGGTGAGCTCCCAGTTGGTAATACCAAAGTCTCTCAGGTGGGCCCTAGCGTGGCTGGAGAGCCCGGCACGCGTGTCGAAGCCGGCCCCGCAGAACTCGCATCGCATCAGGCTGAACGTGCTCGGGTCAAAGTTTGCAACTGAGGAAAGAAGGACAGAGTCAGTAGGTAAAAGTTTGGATCAAGCCTTTGGGAGGGGGTTGTTAGACCCAAAAGAGCCATGAGATGCACCATAGCCATCAAGGCTGGCCGTGGCACCATACGTACCCATAGTCTGGGGGAGCTTTCTCAACCCCACCGATTAAAGCAAGAAAATAGAAAGCACGGCAAATTGAATACATACTACCTTTTTTCTTCTTCTTTTGGAAGGAAAATTTTTGCTCAATAGCTTTCACTTCTTCCGCTGAGATGAAATGCCGGACGTTGTAGCTCACCCCAACCCGATTGAGGTGGCCCCGCACGTGGTTCGCCAGCCCAATGCCGTTGTGGAACCGATCCGGGCAGTACGGGCACTTCCTCTCCTCATTTTTCAACATGGGCGAGTCGGAGTCCAAAAAGTCATCAAACTCTAAAGGAGAGTCCAACAGGAGCACATCCAAGGGAAGAGGCTCTTCCATCATGAACTCCCGCGTTGGGAATGCTGCTTTCTTCTTGTAGGGCTTTGCCCGGGGCCGCTTCTTCGCTTTGGGGTGTGGGTTGACCTCCTCCAGCAGAACGATGGGCACCATCATCCGCAGCTGCTGCTGCTGCTCTTCGGAGGCAATCAAAGGGTCCGTGGCTCTCAATGTGTCTCTGTACGTCCTCTTCAGGTCCAAAGCAGCTTGAGGGATGGTGACGGGTTTGGTGACTCTGTGCTCCATCAAGTCCGTGTCCGTGGTCATGGAGAACTCCCCTTCCACGCCCCCCACCTCGTTGATAAACATCCATTTGTGCCTGACCTCCTCCAGTCCAGCTGAGTGACTCCTCAGACCATCACCTTCAGCTTCGAGGTGCTGAGCTGCTGTTTTTTTTTTCAGGTGCTGCAGAGCAAACTGTGAATAAGCTTTTGTGGAGGAGAGCCCCAGGTTTTTGTGCCGGGCAGCGTATGGGGCCGCTTTCCTGGCATGGAACCCTGACGTCACGTAGTCCTTTTTGCTGCCCCCATTGCTTTTGTTGAGTCTTGGGTGATCTACGGTGAAACTGTGCATGTCGTAATGCGACGCGCTTTCTCGGTGGGGCGGAGGGAAGAGCTGGTCTGCTTTGCCAAAATAATCAGTCTCTGCAAAGCAGCCTGTCCTGGCGGGGCTGTAGGCATCCCTGCTGGTTCCCGGTTGGTTGGGATCTTCTTCATACATCTCCGCATCCCAAGAGAGGTGGGAATGGGCGTATTTCATGTGCTCTTTGAGGATGTTCTCATTGGGTGCTGGGAAGCTGCAGAGCATGCAGGTGCTGAGCCCTTTGCTGTGCGGAGGTGCCTGCACTTGCAGGGGCATGTGCTCATTGGGTTTGAAGTGTTTGTACATACCATGCACGGGGCTATCCTGCAGCTCTCCGCCCCCATAGAGATTCAAGCTCTTCGCCCCTTGGTCCTTCCTCTCCTTGACGTGCATCTTGGCGTGCTGCACGAAGATCTTGGAGGAGTTGGTGCCAAAGACACACTTGGGGCACTGCAGCCGGGCTTCCCGACCTTCATCCGGGAACTCGTTCAGCTTCTGGATCTCCTCGATGATTTTTTCCCTGGATTCCTGGTGGAGCCTTTTGTGCTGCTCCAGGGATGCGAGGTCCCCGAACGCCCACCCGCACTCATTGCAGCAGAACTGGCACTGCCCTCCGAGAGCATCTCCATCTTGGTCCCTCCCTGGTCCGCGGTTGTGCTGGAGCATGTGATCCATCAGGTGCTCCTTCTTCTTGAAGTAGATGCTGCACTCGATGCACGTGTACACCGTGGGATCCTCCTCAGGACCCAGCTCCTCTTTGCCCTGCTCCTCCACCAGCACGCTGCACACATAGGGCCTCATCTCCACATCATAGGAGCTGCAGGGAGTGGGCTCCAGGGACATCAATGGGATCCTCTCCACCGAATCCTCAGAATTCACCGTCCATGACTGTTTGCCGATGGCGAGGTCGGTGCTGAGCTGCAGAGCTGGCTTTGGGATGGTCCACTCAGCTGTGCTGAGCGCTCCCATCTCACCCGCATCCGAGTCGACCCCCAGCCCCTTCCTGTGGGACGAGGGGGTCTCAAGGGTTTTGGACTTGCTGAGGACAGTGTTCAGAGATTTCCTGAACACTGTTGAAGTCAGCGGAGGAGGCACTTCACGCACAGCCTGTCCCCGGAAGGGTACGTTGGTTGCTACATCCGTCGGCTTGCTCACATCTTTGTAGTGAGGACTTGGGCTTCTGTTGGGTCGAGAAATCCAGTCGACCCTCTGCGTCCCCCTCCTGCTTTTCTCTAAGTGCTCTTTGCCGACGCCTTCAAGTTGCTTTGGTTCAGGTTTAAGGTATTTCTCCTCCCCACCACCCACCGGTGGCCCCGTGCAAGGGTTGGGTATCCCAGCTGCCGCCATGCCAGCACCCAGCTCCTCGGCGTCACTCTCCAGGTCTTCAGGATCCACCCGCACCGTATTTACAACCTGGGGGTCCCCAGGGAATGTCGACACATCCTTTGAGTCCTTCAAGCTAGAGAGTCTCTCTAAAGTGCTTTCTTCTCTGCCATCGCCAGCTCGCGTCTCCAGGGCGGAGGTGTCCCAGGGCACGCTGCCGGACACCGTCATGGCACGCAGCTCCAGGGAGGTCCTGGTGTCTGCTCTATACAAAGCCTTCTGGAACTCTAAATGCTCCTCGGTCTTGGAGCTGCAAAAGAAGTTTGGACAGTTAACAACTGGTTAACAGTGCAGAAGGGATGTTTTTTCCTGTATCACCCCAAGCATCAAGGATTTAGGACAAAAGAAAATGAGCTCAAAGACCACTCGTCCCACCCCCCGCCCTCTGTTGGCCATTGTCCTCTTACCCAACGGTGATGCTTGGTACTAACAAGTCAAAGAGCAGGACAATGAACTGCATAAAAACAGGACTGACATGCCAACGTGGACCACACCAAAGGTCTGTGGGACCAAAGGACAACTTGTTCCCATCATGAAGTGCAAGTCTCTCTCTGCAGCACAAGGGGGGAATGCTGACCATCCTCCATCTTTCCTCCCTGTTGCAGATACCCCCAAATCACACTGGATTGAGTTGGTTCCTCCCCCAAACCCTCAGCAGGACCCCAAAGTTAGCAAGATTCCATCAAACAGCTGGAAAACAAGTCTCCATGGGGCAACTCTACTGGTGAACTGGGTGGCACAAGGCCACCCAGGAGGTGCTGTTGACACCACGACCACAGCAAAGACGTGTTGGGTTTTGGAGAGCATGCCCATGGACAAACCAAATGGCTTTGGAAGTCCTATGTTTGGGTTTGGAAGCTTTTTCCCCATATGAAAGAAAGGGGACCGCAAAGGTGCAACAAAGGTACCCGGTGTTCTTCAGGATGCCCCAAGGGATTGGAGACATCTGCACAGTGAGACAGAGCATCAAGCCCTTCTGCAAGGGAGGTGGGAGGCTTGCTAGGGAAACCAGGAAACCCAAAAGCACCTGATGACCATGTTCAGGCTTCTGAAGAGAGTCCAAGCAATCCAGATGCTCCCAAAGAGCAGCCATGACCCAAATCTCAACCAGAACAGAAGAACCAACACCAACAGGGCCCACACAGGAGGAAGAGGACATCTCCATTGGCTTAATGGGGTCTGGAAGGTGCAAGCAGACCCCAACCTGCAGCCCAAGGCTTGGGGCAGAGATGGGAAGACAGAGGAGCTAAGGGTGCCTCAAACTCCCATCTACACAGTGCTGATGGAAGGGATGAATGGCCAAGAGCACCACATCCTGGCGCTCTGCTGAAACCACTGCCAAGGGAAGAAACCCTGAGCCTCAAAGAGCCCAAGGACTCAAGATACTGTGCAAGGAGCTGCTCCAGGCCAGCAGAACACTATCTCATGGGTCAGGCTGTGCTGCCAGGAGAACAAAGCATCTTCCTTTGTTGGGGACAGCAGGGCTTACAGTTCCACGCATTTCTCATCATTTTTAAACCTATTTATTTCCTAAAAAGCAGAGTTCAGGGGCAAACCAGTTCCTGCACTTGCCCTCCCAGCTCCAAATCTTTCCCTATTTTCTTTTCTTTTCTGTAAACACACAAAGAAATTGAGAGGACGGGCTCTCCATCGTCTGCAGTGTGATAGCAGGGAAATGCGATTCCCATCTGCACCACAAACGTTATTAAAAATAACTCACTAAGGAAACCGCTGGCCCAGGAAGGATCATTCAACAGCAGATACTAAAATAAACCCATTAAAACTTGCCAGGCATGGGCTGTATCGCCGAACGAAAGCTGAGGGAGAGCGATTCCCATAAGGAGCCCTGAGCTGCCACCACTCAATCGGCTTTCTCCAGCGTGCTCAGAGATGTTAGGGACACCCCTAAGGAGCTTGGGAACACCCATCTGAGCATCCACCTCTTCCCCTTGCACCAGGGATGGCCCCAAGAGAGCAAAGCAGAACTGAGGTGTTCCAAGGGGCGATGTGGGACGGGCAGAAGAAAGGGGTTGTGGTGGGAAGTGGTGAAATGAAGCTATGTTGGAACAACCAACAGTGCATTGGAGAGAGGGAATGGTGCTGGCTTCGTGGTTGGGACAACCCTCTTTGGGGGACAGCCAAGCAGAAATTTGGGGGTTCTGTGCTGTTAGCAAGGGGAGATGCTCTGCAACATCCCCAGGGCACTTACCCGAGTTCGGTCCTGTGAGCTGGGGCTGGGACAGCACCGGAGAGGGCAGGATCAGGCTCATCTGCAACAGAGAGGAAAGCTCCATAGTCAGTGCCCAAGTGAGGCTCCTGCAGCGCAATTTGCAATCAACGTGATTTGGGTGTTGGAAGGAAAAAGCTTTCCCAGCAGATCAACCCCTTCTGCTCCTGCTGCCCTGTCCTGCTACGGCCGGGTCTGGATTACGGGAGGATTGCTGAGCCACACTTAAGAGGGTTTAATCCCGCGCAAAAGTATTTGGTGGATAATCACTCCTGCAACTAAGCAGGCGAGAGGGGAGATGTGCATGGCTCCAGCCAGGCTCCTGCAAACCTGGAGGGGTTGGCTTTGTCCACTCTGCAAAGCAGATGGCATCCCATGGGCTCTGGTTTCTCTGGGTGCACAGCTGAGCATCTTTCTGGGCTTGGTGGTGGAACCCCTGGGATGGTGGTGCTGACCACACATCTCCAACCCTGCTTGGGGCTGACAACGCACGGGTGAACCCTGCTGAGCTTTACTGGGCTCAGATGGACCAGGATCAGCCCTGAAGAAGTGGGAAAATTTTTGCTGGTGTCCAAGAAGGATGCATGAATCACACCTGCCTGGACAAGACTGCGAGCAGAGAGAGGAGTGGGCACCAGACCCACGTGCACATTGCAGCTATGGAGACAAGAGTTGGACTTGGATGATCCCAAGGGGTCCCTTCCAACTCAGGATATTCTATGGTTTTTATGACTGTAGTTGACCTTCATCCCCTCCCTGACGGATGCAACCACTTCTAGATCATGTTTGTTTTGCAGATTGCTGCTTATGTGCCAGAAGTCGAGCACGATGGCCCAAGGAATTTGGAACCACCATTATGGAGATGAAGGAGTCAAGCAAAGGAACGTGAAAAGCCGTCGCTGCTTTTCCACCCTAACATCTCAAGTGAAGCACGCAAGAGGTCAGAAGCTTAAAGCTGATCTCTTGAAAGGAGATGATAAATTTTTGAGGTCTTTCACTCGGATGGGGCCACTGTGGCGATCCTCCATCGGCACCATCAGAGGACACAGAGAGGTGGCCTTGAACTCCAGCAGCTCAGGTTTTTTTGGCTTCAGAAGCATTTTGGAAAAGCCCGTTGGGATGCACGGCCAAGCTGTGAGGTCACGGGGGACAAATAGTGTTCATTCAGGAAAGCCTGAGTCACTGACCGGCCCAGCCAGGCACGTGGGGGAAGGGATGGGAAAACCCTCCCAAACGGGCAGACTGTAAAACACTTCCAAAAAGAATCAAACCGAAAGCGACAGTGAGGAGAAGGGAAGCTGACGGAGGGGACGATCGGGTGAAGGGACAGGCAGGAGCCTTCCAGGGGCTCTTTGTTCCGTGGAGCTCCAGCGTGGCTCCTATTTTTAGCAGCTGTCTCCTTTAGAGGAAAACACGCCGTGATTTATCTTTCTCCTGATGAGCACGTAACTGTGCTCCCTGCAAATCCTGGTTTCTTGGAAACAGCGAGAGATGAGGGAGTTTAATGTCTTGGACTTCGCAAGCTCACGTTTACCCTCTATGGTAATCCAGTGAGAGCTGCTCCTCCGACCACGGGAGCGCAACTGCAGCTTCTCCCAGGAGAGCAACGCGGCAGCCACAAGGTCAACCACTCTCATCCATTGGATCCACTACATAAAAAGGACACAAAACTATCAGAGGGCATCCAGCGGAGGGCACGAAGATGGCGTTGGGTCTAGAGGGCAAGATGTATGAGGAGCAGCCCCAGGCCACCTCGTTTGTTTGACCGAGAGGAGAATGACACCGTGCTCAGGGTCTGGGAGCTCTCATGTCGAGCGGGGATTGGACTCGATGATCTTCATGGGTCCCTCCCACCTCGTAAACTTCTACAGTTCTATGGTTTTTCCTCTACACCAGTTAGAGCAGCCAAGACACCGAGATGCTTTCTAACATTGAGCAAACACGTGAGCTTGCAGCAGCCAAAACACACACAAAGGGCAGAGATAAGGGAAACCAGCACCGTTCCCAGTATAGAATGGTTACACTGGGACTTCTCCTATGCACGGTGAACCCACTTCTAGATGCATTTAGCAAAGGTTACTCACAACATTCATTTCAAAGGTCACTAATCGAGTAATAATGACATCACCATTAGGGCCAAAAGCGCTCCGTTTCACCAAGGTCACTGCAGGCAGTGTTGATAAGCAGAGGTTTAACAGCATGCTCACAAAGCATGGTTTTACCTAAACTGTCACCACCACCACCCAGGAGCACAAGGACACACTGCAAAGTGCTTTTCCACATCACTGTTCTTCCAAGTGTCAGATCCTTCCCACCCAGAGGGTCTCCAAGGGCTCTTCACTACAGGATCCCTTCTACCCAAAGGGTCTCCAAGGACTCTTTTCTAAGGGATCTTTTCTACCCAAAGGGTCTCCAAAAAGGTCTTCCTTATGGGATCCTTTCTACCCAAAGACTCACCAAAAGGGTCTTTCCAACCTGGGATCCTTTCAACTCAGCTATGGCTATATATTTTCATATAGTGCTGCCCTTGCAGTGATGTTGGTGAATCCAACATCCAAAGAAATAAGTCCAACAAAGGCCCCAGCCATGGGTGACAGGAGGACTCAATTGAAGACAAGCAGGTGAAAACTGGGAGTGTTTAACTTCCAGGTGAGGGCAGGAAGGTGCTGCCTACAGCCACTAACTGGAGGGTGTGAAGAAGATGGAGCCAAGCCCCTCTTGGACATGCACAATGAAAAGAAAAGAAAGTGACAACACAGGAAACTCTTCCCACGGCACAGCTGTGGGATGTAGATATCTCCATCCCTGAAGACGCTCAAAACTCAACCGGATGGGGCTTGAACAACTCAAACAATTTTCAAGTTGGCCATAGACAAAGCTCAGGATTGGGCTCAAAGCAGAGACATCTTTTGGATAGTGGTTTCCCTCAGCACTACACCAGCTGGAAAAGATGAGATGCTTTGGAAGAGTTCAACCAAGAAACTCTATTTTCCTGGAGGTCTCATACACAGCTCCCAAAGAGGTCTCTAGCAACAGTCTAGAGGAGCCTACAGGAGTGAAGATTTAAAGGAAATCCATAAAAAACACTATTTCCTACACTTCAGAAGCTGTTGATCTGTGTAAGGGTCCACCATCTGATTCCCCTCCACCACACAATCCTCCAGAATGGGAGGGAGGATGCCCACCTGACCTCCAAAGCCCGTCTGCACCCTGTATCTCAGCAATATGGAATGGGGAGGGAGGTTCAGCCCTGCCTTCAGCCCCCTCCTGACGGTGAATACTTGGTGCAGACCAAAACCAGACTCTCCCAAAAACAGAAGAAATCAAGCAAATTGGACCAGAACTTTCAGTACTACTTTTTGGACCAAGCTGAAAGTTTCCAAGAGCCTCCCAAACAAGCTGACCATCTCCAAAAACCCTGCAATGAACCAACCTGTGGTTTTTTTTTTTTTTCCTCCAGCCATCTAAAGGGGGCAAAAAGAGGTATTTTAGTTCCTCTACTGCCATTTGAGCAGGGGGATATTAGGCAAGTGAGTAGGCTATAAGCAAGGGTTAGGCAAGGGGTGAGGTCTTGCATCATCTTCTGTGTAATGCAGGATGTTGCAAGGCATGAGTTAGCTCTGGAATTAAAGAGTAGCTCCTGCTCAGGGTGAAGCTTTCATCTTGGGCGTTTAATTTGAGAGCAAATGGTGCTGGAAGACTCTCTCATTGGCACCAGCAACTTCTGCGCGTTGCAAATAGCCTGGAAGAAAAACCACAAATCTTTGGCTTGACGCGTGGCTTTCTGGAGTCCAAACACGCAGCAGGGACCCACGGTGCCAAAAAACCAGCAGATGGTGCAGTACAGCGGTGGGAAAACACTGCAGCCCATTGCCACCACCCCAACAGCAGGGATTGCTGCTGCTTTGGATGGCACAGGTTTGTATTTTTCTTTCCAAACTAGAGCAACGAGGGTTCCCATGCAAGGAATGCGTGGCCTTGGGCTGAGAAGCTAAACAAAGCAACTCCACACACACACACACAAAAAAAAAAGGGAAAGGGTATAACAGCTCTTCTCCCAACTCACCATTAATAGGAGCTGCAGTTCCTACATGAACGCAGAGCCTTTCCCTTTTGCAAGAGGAGAAAGTTGCTTGCACCCCAACACTCCCCTTCCACTGAGGGCACCCAAAGGAGCAGCCTGGGTTCCTGCAAACCCAAACCAAGACCTTCTGATGACATTGCTGCTCCAGCTCTCCAAGTAGGGCAGATTATCCTCCATCCCCAGAGGATGGCATCGCTGCTCAAACTCTTCAACGGAGTTTCTGCCCCAAATCCCCAAGTAGGGTAGACTGTTCTCCATCAAAAGGACACGGCATCGCTCCTCAAGATCTTTGATGGTATTTCTGCTCCAAATCTTGAAGCAGGGCACAGCACTCCTCCATCCCAAGAGAATGGTATTGCTCCTTAAGCTCTTTGATGGTCTTTCTACCCCAAATCTCCAAGTTGGGTGGACTATTCTCCGTCGCAAGAGCACAGCATCAATCCTCAATATCCTTCATGGTATCCCTGCTTCAAATCCTACCTCAGAGCAAATTCTGCTCCATCCCAAGAGCGTGGCATCACTTCTCTCCATCAGGAATAATCCCACTGCGTCCCACGTGTGCGTCCGAACGCTCCCCGGGGCAGGACAAGACAATCATGCTCTCCGTCCCTTTGCTGTGGCTTTGCCAGAGGCAAGCAGGAGATTCTGCTCACACTCCTGAATATAGATGAGCTGGCGAGAAGACTTGGGCAGAGCCGTGAATTTCACATTTCCTCCTGAAAACGGATGTGTTTGGGGTCAGTTTTCCTCCTCCGGCACCGGTGAAAGATCCTGGCTGCCTGCGGACGGAAACGGGATGCGTTTCTTTCTCTTTCTGCACGATGGCAGCTCAGGGCTGTATTTAAGGACACTCCTAAGCCCCCAGGCAGGTGACCTTGAGGATAGGAGCTCTTCAAAGCCCGGCGTGCTGGCAGCACATCGCGTCTCATCTGACTCGGGCTTGGCCGGCTGCTGACGGA